TCCGTCGCAAATGGCTAGTGTCTTTTCCACACCAGAGTCGTGCCACTCTTCATATCAAGAGTCGAGTGTGAAATTTTCGATTACTACTGTAATAACGGTACCATGTGTCACTTTACTGCCTAATGAAGGGAGCTTTGCCCCATGCAACCACCCTCCTGGGGGGCAGCCGCCCCAACCCCCGCCCAGGAAAACAAAGAATCCTCCAATATTCATGGCAGGAGAGAGCGTCGGACACACCCGGTATTGCGCGCTCCCTTATGCCGATCGTAGATACGAGAATTGCACATTGAAGGGGGCTGTGAAAACAAAGAATCCAACACGTATTCACGGCAGGAGAGAGCGTCGGTCAGACCAGGCATCAGGCGCTCCCACATATTGGTCTTACACACACGAAGTACCTTATTCACAGTAACTAGGGTAAAATTAAGCCTTACAACATACCTATGCAGAAGAGGGGCCGGGTTGTGGGTGGTCAGTATCACTTGAGGGAGCGGGAGAAGGAGGGCTTGAGAGGTCTGTGGGAACGGGAGCGCTGGAGAGGGCTGTGGTAGCTCAGACTGAGGAGGGTATAGCCTGGCGTTGCACCCACTCTTTCACGTTTCTCCAGAGTCTTTTGATATTCTGAGGATAAATATTTTGGTAATTGATGAAGACCACGACGCACCCTCGCAGAGACTAAGTTCCAAACGTGGGGGGTACCCCTCCCCGCCAAAGGGGGAATCCCCTCCTCCCCTCCAAAGGGGGAGGGGGTGCTCGCAGAGCCTAATTTCCTAGGGGGGAGGGGGGGAGGGATGAGGGAGAGAAATCGAATTCACGAAGCTCCATTGGAGGGGGGGGGATGCACGATGTCACTAGCAACCTGTAAATGTCTAAATAAAATAAATACCACTTAAACATCTATATAAATTGTAATTATATGAAAGACGAGCCTAAATTTATATCACGGCAACAATAGAAAGGCTTTATAATAAAAAATAAGAGCCAAACTTTGTCCGACGGACACCGAATGAAACACCGCTAAATTAAACAAGCGCAAAACGTAATGCGGACGAACTCGATATATGATACACATTATTTTTTTTTACATTATAATACATTTTCGTAATCATACGAACCTGAATACCGAAACATAACATTAACCAACGAACTTATGTCAAACCGTTAATAATTTTGCTAATTTTCTATATTACCTTCGCCTCTCCGATATCGACGATTTTGGTATCGTTGGATTCCTCTCACTGTCCACATTGCAAATATATAGTTTTTATTGCGCGGAACCCCCCCCCCCCCCCCCGTTAGCGACAAACTTAGTCTCGATTACAAGGGAGGGCATGGAAGGTTCCAGGGAAAATGCGGGGTTAAATAACACTAATGATATAACCAACTGAAAATAACCATAGTTATTCACATGACTTTCCATTGAAGGGGGCTGTGCCCCCTGCAACCTCCACCGAGGAAACAAAACCTCCACCCCGTATTCCCGGCAGGCTAGAGCGTTACACATTTAGGTTAGGTATTACATTTACCTTGTAACATTCCCACTGAATCAGCATATTAACCTTGACAGTCAGCATTGTATACAGACACGATTGTAGTATAATCACGATGAACGGGGTATACTATGAACAGAAGAGCGCCCTCGTCGGCGGGTTTTGCGCCTCTCTCGATGTTACACCGATGGCCTCAAGGTCGAGTTTCCCGTCCCCTGGAACCACGATATTCGAATTCCTAACCGAAATAACCGCCGCGTTCAGTACTTCGCCATAGCCGCCGCGATGACCGAGTGTGGAGGGTGCTCCTATTAGGTTATGGTAGGGTAAGTTATCGGCTCCGCATCTAGTTCGTGTGCGCTCTATCCTGCCGTGAATATGTGGTGGATATTTGTTTCCTCGGCGGGGGTTAGGGGGCGGCAGCCCCCACTGGGGGGGTCGCAGGGGGTGCAGCCCCCTGCAATGAAATGTCATGTGAATAACCATGGATATTTTCACTGTGGGTTATATTAATAGGGTAATTTTCTATATTACGTCCGCCGCTCCGACATCGTCGCCCCAGATATAGGGCCCAAGTTTGCCGCTAACAAGGGGTTTCCGCACAATAAAACCTACATATTTGGATTGTGCAGAGTGAGAGGAATCCAACGATACCAAAATCGTTGGTATCGGAGAGGCAAAGGTAATATAGAAAATTACCATACTTTTAACTACAAATGCGGTTATTGTAAAATTAGTCTTAAACACTTATTGTAACACGCATTTTATTAATAATTATGATATATAATCCGTGCAATATGTGCAAATTGCCGGTTCTCGTTTAAAAGTTAAAACGTACTAACCTCCTGTTGTCGCGCCTCAGTTATCAGACTTCCCCGCCGGGTAATTATAAGTAAGACACCCGCCCCAATTTTTTTTTTCCCTACCCCTTTCAATCTTCAGGGGCATGTAGGGGACACACCCACGGGAGAAATAGTTGAATAAAATTTGAAAATTTAGGAATAAATTCAAAATCCGAACGAAACTTTGGCGCCGCTGCAACATGCGCCGCGCCGGTGTCCGTGTTGCCGATATCTCGACGAAATTTCTTAACCTAACAAAACTAGGACAACATTCCCTGGGGGTATTTCGCCGTAGTTTTCAGAAATCTCGCACGACCAGTGAGGTCCCCACAATTTTGTTGAATTCCCCTGCATGTACGAACAATATTAATTAATTCCATTACACTTTCCGTGGCTGCCTTAATTAGGATTGCCCAAAATAAATTACCCCACACCCCTTATTAGCACGATGTCAAATTATTACCAAATGACAATATCAATACATTTAACACATACCGTCACAGTGCGGAGGGTACAGGCGAGCTGCGGCAAAGAGGAATTGATGGAACCTCTTGTTCTCCGTCGGGTACTTCATTTGAAAAATGGCCTTAGCCAAGTACCCGGCGAAGTGGTATGTCCTCCTGCCGAAGCGGGGCACTTTGATCTTCGCTTCCCTCCATTTCCGGTCGATCGTGTTTGTGTGCGCTTTACTTTTGGGGTCAACAAAATTATATGAATGATTCACAGTTAAATGTTGATAGGGGCTTTCTCAAAACAGTTGTATGCCTTCCAACAATCACTAATGACCGTTGTCCCTGGGTGGATAAGCTCTTTAATTACTTTAAGCAAAGTGAGTGTCACTCGTCTCCACGGGAACGAGGAAAAAATCCCTACTCTTGCGGCATACTCCTCCAAAAACCCACTGACCTTCTATTACACGACCTACGTCATATTTACGTTTACCAAATTTAGATTCATCAATCTCGACAATTTCTCTTGACCCACCAATTTTGTCGGATTGATTTTCAAAACTCCAGAAAATTAAAACTTCCCGGCAGAAGCTCGCCCAATCGCAAATAGTCCGGTTTGGGAAATTAAACTCGCTCCGTGCAAATGCGCAAGAAAACCTCTCTCTCAAATACAAATTTACAAATTTTAAATTAGTTTCAAAATCGAACTTACTATTATCAAACCAGGTGTTCTTAAAAAGTGATTTTTTAAAATTGCATCTAACTTTTCAATTATTTTTTTGGGGGGTCTTGTCGCACCTGAATGAATTGATATTATCATCGCGACGGCATCCGCCGTCGTATTTAGGACATTTCATGGCCTCCAAAATGAGGCCATGTGTATGGCAAAGATCGAGCAAGAGGGAAGGCTGGGTGCCGTAATTTTCCCAGAAGTGCCCATACCTACCATGATATAATAAATTTAACAAATATTTGACCCATTATGATATAAGCAACAACAAAATATTAATTCTTATTTGAAAAGAGATAAACACTTAATAATATAAATAAACATTTAAACTTACCCCATGTCACACTCCACACAAAAATCACTACCACTAGCCATGACGGTGGCTTATAGGCAAGTGAGTGCGTAATTATCATCATCATCATCATGGGGGCTGACGCCGACGGGGGCGCATAGCCGCATCCACCCTTCGCTTCCACCTACGAGGATCCCTCATGGCTAGACGCCAGGCAGGGACTCGGCCCATCTCTAGTTCTTCACGGCAGGTTTGGTCGATCTGCCCAAGCCATGACTTCCTCGGTCGTCCCACAGGCCTCCTCCACCCAGGGTTGTCTCGAATAGAGACGACCTGATGGGCAGGATCATCCTGAGGAAAGCGAGCCAGGTGGCCGTATAGCCTGAGTTGGCGATCACGGATTGTGCAGATAACAGGGCTTGTGCCAGTCTCACGGTGCAACCGTTGGTTGGACACATGGTCCCGCCAACAGTACCCCATGATCTGGCGCAAGGACCTATTACAAAAGGCTTCAAGACGAGCCTCCAAGGCACAGGACAATGTCCAGGTTTCGCTACCGTATAGCAAAACTGGCATTATCAGGGCCTTGAAAACCCGAAGCTTGGTCCTTCTGCACAGGTACCGACATCTCCAAATACTCTTGTTGAGAGAGTTCATGACCCCTGCTGCCAGGCCAATCCGTCTGCTGACTTCATGGTCTGACAGCCCAGAGTTATGAACTACACTACTAAGGTATGTAAAGCTCTGTGACTTCAATGTCCTCACCGCAAGCACGTACCGACTGAACAGGTTCTCCTATCAAGTCCCCAAATTCCTGGACCTTGGTCTTGGTCCAGGAGACCTAGACCCAGGGGCTTCGCTTCATTGCTAAATGCATCGAGAGCTGCCACTAGGGTTTCCAAAGACTCAGATAGAATGGCAACGTCATCAGCAAAGTCAAGGTCTGTAACCTTGATATTGCCCAGCGTTGCCCCACAATGACTTTGAACAGTAGCTCTGCCCAGTAACCAGTCCATGCAAGTGTTGAAAAGAGTTGGTGCTAGGACACAGCCTTGCCTCACTCCTGAACTAACAGGAAAGAAGCTCGACAGGCCCCCACCACACTTTACAGCACTTTCAGTACCAGTATACAGGCTTGCTATTAGTCCAATAATCCTTGTTGGTATTCCTCTCAGCCTCAGGATCTCCCAAAGTGACTCCCGATGCATCGTATCGAACGCCTTCTTGAGGTCGATGTAGGCTGCAAGCAGCCCATGCCCGAACTCACGACAGCGCTCTACAATGACTCGAAGCGCGAGGATACGGTCTATTGTGGACTTACCAGGAGTGAATCCGGATTGCTCCAGTCTCTGGTGCCTCAGTAGATGGTCTCTGATACGTCTCAGAAGGATGTGGGTGAGAACCTTGCCTGGTACACTGAGCAGTGTGTGATGCCTCGGTGATTGCTGCAGTCCCAACGGTCCCCCTTCCCCTTCCAGAGAGGGATGACCACACCCCTCAGCAGGTCAGGAGGAACGGAACCGGACTGCCAGATGGCAGCCAGGACAGCATGTAACCCCCGTGCCATAGGTTCACCACCAGCCTTTAACAGTTCAGCTGGTATGCCGCAGATACCAGCTGCTTTACCACTCTTCAGCTTGGAAATCGCACCCTAACTTCAGTTAGGGAGGGAGGGTCCTCACTGATAGGTGGATCCGGCAGCGAGATCTCGACACTAAGCGCATCCAAGTTAACTGTTGGTGGGTCAACCTGGTACAGCTGCTCAAAATACTCAGCCCAACGTCCCCGCACCGCAACAGGATCTGAAACGATCTGACCACTTACTGAGCGAACTGCTGTCACCTGTGAAGAGGGATTGTAGTTCAGCTTTCTCAGGGCTTGGTATGCAGGACGAAGGTCATTTACTAAGAAATGGCCTTCTACCTCCTCTGCAAGACTCCTAATAAACTGTTCCTTGTCCCTTCTTAACAGGGACCGAGTTCTGCGCATATGAGAACGGTGCAATTCCCGATCCCCTGTCAGACGAGCCGCATGACATGCATATGTGGCTTCCAGTGTCTCCCACGAGATGGAATTCTGTACTGCTCTCGGGCGTACACCAATCGTATCTTGAGCTGCATGAAGCGTTTCACGCTTAAAGGTATCCCACAGAAGAACAGGGTCTGTCAGACTGCCAAGCACTGCGAAACGATCAGAGATTGCCTCAGCAAACCTGCGGGCACACTCCCCCTCCCTCAGCCTGTCCAAATGAAACACCCTAGGGTGATCATTTGACCGCTGGGGGGTTTTGAAGTGGACCCGGAGGGTAGCCACAACCAATCTCTGGTCAGTACCACAGAACTCAGCACTCCTGTACACCCTGCAATTCTGAAGGATCCTCCAACGAGTGCTAACAAGTATGTGGTCGATCTCCTTGGCTGCGTTACCCGCATCACTGTACCATGTCCAGCGATGTGGGTCTGGGCGCTGGTACCAGGAGCCAGAAATCCTCAATTTCTGGGACCTAGCAAAGTCCCGGAAAAGGAGGCTATTCTCGCTACCGGCATCAGCTCCCGAACCATGGGGACCGACAGACATCTCATAGCCAGCTCGATCACAGCCAGATACCGCATTGAAGTCGCCCAGAACAATGTGAATATCTTGTCGGGGACATCTGTCTACCACAGATGTAAGTTTGGCGTAGAAACATCTCTTTCACATCAAGTTTACAAACATCGGTAGGAGCGTACACAGCAATAAGAGACATGAAGCCAAAAGAAAGCTACAATCTCAATACCATTATACGCTCATCAACAGGAGTAACCTTTACTACCGAGGGCTGGAGTCTGCTGGAGACGGCAATGGCTACTCCCTGGAGATGGTGGCCATTGCTGCGGCCCGACCAGTAATAGGTGTAGCCACCTACACAGGTCATGCCGCTGCCAGGCCTCCTCACCTCCGAGAGAGCAGCCACCTCAACTCTCAGCCTCCCCAGTTCCCTCGACAGTAGAGGCAACCGATCATCCTGACGCAAAGAATGGACGTTCCAAGCCCCCACCCTAACTTCCCGCCTGAGGTTCAGCCTCTGGCAGTCGCTCCAGGTGGATGCCACCTCTGCCACCCCCACCGACGCTGCCCCATATAAAAGTGGGTGGCGGGCTGCGTGCCCCATCATCCACCTGTGGGGTTCCCGAGGCTTTCCCCACAAGCTTCACTCTGGGCTGGCGGCCACCAGAGCGCAGGCGAGACGGGTAGTCCCCGTTCCCAGCCTGCGCTCCAGCAGTCGCCCTCCCAGCAGGGCCCACAGTCCGCCTCACTTGCTGGGTGGGAGGGGCTTTTCCCCTCCTCCCAGCCTCTCCATTTATAAGTTTCACTGCCGATTGGTTTATATCTGGGGGGAGGAGGACTGGCAAGGCCCACCTCCCCCGAGCCTCCCATTAACCCCAGGGGGCTAGGGGGCAGGAGTTGGTACAGGGCCAGGGCGTGTCCACACGCCGGTGGGCCATGGCCCTGAACCTCTGGGGCCTCCTGCTGCTCCGAGATCCCCCTCAGTTTAGCCTGGAACCGCAAGGTACCCAGTTTCCATGGGCGGCCACGAGGAGGCACTGCAGGGAGTCTCGATGATGGAGAGGCTATGCACTGGCACGGGGAGGCTTATGCAGAGCTGCTCCCTTTTTCGCACGAGGCTAGCCAGCGGTGGCAGCTGTAAGCGAGAAGGCATGCAGAAGCTCTTAACACTAACTAGACTACCACTCCATCGCTTCACACCACCCTGCGCATGAAGCACCCACCCATTAATTAACAATGGGTATTGTTCCTAATGGGAGGCAATTGATGTAACAAGGCAGTAGCATTGTTAGATTAACAATCAATCAAGGTTATGATAAAGAATATAATAATAGTAAAATAACCACAATACATAGAATGAAAAATATGATGTATAAGCGTAAGTTGATTTGAGGAAATTTTATTATAAATAAGATAAAATGTATAAAAATAATTCGTAATCGGCAATGATTCCAGGTTGGTTTGAAAGTGGTGCACCGAAAACGTGACCTTCATAGAAAACGCAGTTATAGAAAATGGAATAACAGAAAATGACATAGAAAACGAGCTTAGAGAAAATGTAAACATGTACAAAGAAATCTGCCTGTGGAAGGCTGTTTTGGACTTGGGCTCTGCGCGCCGCGTTCCCCCCCCGTTTAACAGTAAATATAAGGCCTGTGTATCTTAAGATTACATTTTCCTCTATCTACGCGCGTAACGGTCTTCAGCCTCTTCCAATAAATTGGTTGCTAGGATCAACAAACTCTTTGGAGTGGTTGATAACACGTGTATAACCCTCCTTGTCGAGACCAAGATAGGCTCCCCAACCGTCACTGCAGATAACGGTACCCGGAAGGATATACTTCTTTATCAGAGGGACCAGTGTCTCCTCCGATTAGTAGAGAGGAATAAGGAAGGACTTCTTCGACTCCCTCTATGCCTCCAAACACCCAGATATTACTTAGCTCCCGTCCGCGACCGTACTTCCACTCCCCGAAGCAAGACACGTCAATCTCCACAGTGATGTCCTTCCCTCCTATGGGGTCTTGATTTGACAGACAGTGAGCCGTTACTTCGGAGCAGAAGCTCCTCCAGTAAATGCTCGTTCTTTCTGCCCACCCAAGATTTTCAAAGATCGTATTGTGGCTCCACTTCTTTTCCAGCCAGTGATTAATAAAGCACACAATTTCCGATGGACGGATGTGTGCGTCTTCCAGAAATGTTCCTTTGAAGTCACTAACGGAGAAGGAGCACTGATTCCGCTGCTTAGTTTTGGCAATTTTCTGCCAACGGCTGCAAAACCACAGACCTCTTAGTGTATGTAGTTGCTTCGTTGGTAGTGATCTATCCTCATTGCAACCTCCTTTCCTTTTAAGATACTTTTTTGTCTTGCGAGTTAAAACATTTTGAATGACTGTTCTAGACATTGCTTATTGGTAAAAATCCTCAAAGAAACTATCTTTCAGATATTCTATATAAATCTGTCTCTTTGCCTACGATCATAGAAACTCAAGTTTTTTTTTTTTTCTTTTTTGCAGATGTTTAACGAAGACGATGCCGATGCCGGGAAGGAAACAGACGGATCCATGTCCATGCAGTCTGAATCGGTTCGAGATTTGGCGGTAGAACTATATGTTAGTGTTTTTTCTTTGTTTTTAGTCCTATGCCGTCAATTACGGCCTACACTGTACCTCTCACGCAACAGGATAAGTATGAATGTTGCCAGATGCTTTCCTCCTTATTTCGGTTATTCTCATGTAAATTCATCCTTTAGTCATCTATATCACAGTACAACCCATCATTAGATATCAAAAGCCATCTTGGATATCACATTCCAAATTATTACATACCAGTTAAAAAGATTACCAGTAAAGCAAAACCAGCTAACCGTCAACTGCGACCATTCCAATTACGTCATAGGTTAGAGCTTAGTAACTTGTCTCGCCTAAATTCGTATTGGGTCACTCGACACCCTAATTGCCAAAGGAAAAGAAGGCACTAGTTAGCATCGAGATTTTGTATTTGAGTAAATATCCCATAGAGGAAAGTTTGTTTTTAGAGATTATCCCCAGTCCTGTTATATTAATAACATTTCTCAGATATATGAATTAAAGATGGTGGAATCTAAAAGGATAATGTGGAGATTAGGTGAAGTTAAAAAGTTGTAAAATATTTTTGTATCAAATTTGGGTCAGTTACTATAGGACAGCTGGGGGTTCTTCTTATCCTTCACCCCCCCCCCCCCATCCAGCTTATCGTTCTCCCCCATCCATCCTTCTCCCTTTCACCTATCTTATCCTCCCCCGAAAGCCACCTGTCTCCCTCTGCCCCTAATCCACCCTTCTCCCTTCTCTCCCCTTCCCTTCCATCTTATGCTCCCCATCCAGCCTTGTCTTCCCGTCCACCCCTCATACCTCCCCCTCACCGTTTTCTTTCAATACCAATTTTTTCTCCCACATTATAGAAAATTGTCACGGAATACTACGCTGAAGATAGGGAGTCCACCGCAGCGTTGCCATGGAGCCAGGCTGCGTTCACTCTGATGGCCATCATATTTGCAGCGGTCTTTGTCCCTCTTTTTAAAATCACAGCTTCTATTTTCCTGGCTGCTGCCTTCCGGGCTACTTCGTTTCTCATATTTAGTGAGTATTTAATTGATACTTTCTGTTTTGAGTACCTTTTTTTAAGAATTGATTTCTTGTTTTCCAACTTTTAGTTTTATTTTTTCACCCACTTATGTTCAGAGTGTAAGTGCAGAATAATTTAATAAGGGTCCAAGAACTGTGATTATTTCATTTATAACTGATGTGGAATTTCATATATATAAAGCATGTCACATGAACTAGTGTGTGTGTTTATATATATATATATATATATATATATAATATATATATATATATATATATATATATATATATATATATATATATATATATATATGCAGCTAGTCTTTTGTTGCGTTGGTAAGTTTTTGTAACAATTTTTCTTCCAAGATCACTGCACTTTATGGAACTCATTGTCGTAGTGCCAGCACCTGGGCGTCATAAATGTGTGTATCCCTCGGTGCATATTTTCCAGGTCATCTTTCACACGCATGACGTTAAGATTATACTATGATGCATGCAGTTAGAGATTTCAGCTGATATATTCCTGGATCCGTTTTTAAGCAGTCTATTTTTAGAATTGCAAGGTTATTTCGAAATAGTGTCTGGAGTGCCAAGCCCTTGCCGTTTCCTCATAGAAAGTTTTATTGAGGTATGTACAATGTTTTTAAACTCATTCGTGAAGGCTGTATCTTAGTGGATATGAATAACCATTTATTTGTATAGCATCAGGAGCGACACGAGTGATAAATACAACGCAATAAAATCTTAATTTGCATCTTTAAATCAACAATTATTGCAAGTCTATATGGTCTTTTACGGATTTAAGCCTAGCTAGGAGATGGTATCCTACAGCTCAAGTTATAGAATTTGCCTATAGTTATAGCGAATTGCTTACAAAGTCCATACATTATAGTTTATTATTGAATCCTTTCCTATTTTTTTTGCTAGCATAAGAGATTTAACACACGCAACGTGGATGGTATGATATACAAGTCATTCCATAGATATTTTAGTTTTTGTTTACACATACGAAACTTGGGGTAAAAGTTAGATGCGGTAGTTTAGCCTGTTCTTTTTTCGCCGTGACTCTGACCCCAGCATGATGCAAGTACTGAGTTGACGAAGAGGAACTGCCTTAGCTTAATTCCGGAACCTTTAAGAGTACAAAGCCAGCACTCCTCCACTGAGCTCTACCATCTCTATCATCACAAGTAATGCAGACGATTTTTTCCTGAAGCAATTACAGCAAGTCTTTGCGCTGTGGAGTTCAGCTCTCTGACCGGGACAAGTTCTTGGTGCGTGTGTGCGTGTGTGCGCGTGTGCGCGTGTGTGTGTGCGTGTGCGTGTGCGTGTAAATCAGTCCCTTTATCATTTTCGTCTCCCAGGGTTTCTTTGAGGGGGCTGTGTGTAAATGAGGGGATTTGAATTTTTTGTGCGCGACCGCCATCCTCGACGTCAGATGATTTGGAGATGAGAAAACATATTTTTAGTGTTTTTATTACCTCCTGGACTGATCTGTAGATGTATATCGTAGCCGATCACTACAACTCCCTTTCTCCCTCCCCCCCTCGCACTCCACTCACTCCACTCACTTTCTTCCTCTCCCCCTCTCACTCCACTCACTTTCTCCCTCCCCTCTCACTCCACTCACTTCTCCCTCCCCTCTCACTCCACTCACTTTCTCCCCCTCCCTCTCACTCCACTCACCCCTCCCCTCTCACTCCACTCCTCCCTCCCCCCCTCACTTCCACTCCCTCTCTCCCTCCCCCTCACTCCACTCCCTCTCTTCCCCCCCCTCTCGCCTCCACTCCCTCCCTCTCCCTCCCCCCTTGCACTCCACTCCCTCTCTCCCCCCCCCTCGCACTCCACTCCCTCTCTCCCTCCCCCTCGCACTCCACTCCCTCTCCCTCCCCCCCTCGCACTCCACTCCCTCTCTCCCTCCCCCTCGCACTCCTCCCTCTCGCGCACTCCACTCCCTCTCTCCCTCCCCCCCTCGCACTCCACTCCCTCTCTCCTCCCTCCACTCCTCGCACTCCACTCCCTCCTCTCTCTCCCTCACCCACTCCCTCTCTCCTCCCCCTCGCACTCCACTCCTCTCTCCCCCCTCGCACTCCACTCCTCTCTCCTCCCCCTCGCACTCCACTTCTCTCTCCCTCCCCCCCTCGCACTCCACTCCCTCTCTCCTCCCCCCTCGCCTCCCACTCCCTCTCTCCCTCCCCCCCTGCACTCCACTCCTCTCTCTCCTCCCCCCCTCCACTCTCCTCCCTCTCTCCCTCCTCGCACTCCACTCCTTCTCCCTCCCCCCTCTCACTCCACTCCACTCCACTCCCTTTCTCCCTCCCCCTCTTCACTCCACTCCCTTTCTCCCTCCCCCCTCTCACTCCACTCCCTTTCTCCCTCCCCCCTCTCACTCCACTCCCTCTCTCTCCACTCCTCTCTCCCTCCCCTCCCTTTCTCCTCCCCCTCTCACTCCACTCCTCTCCCCCCTCCTCCACTCCTCTCTCCCCCCTCCTCTCCTCCCCTCTTCACTCCACTCCCTCTCTCCCCCCCCCTCTCACTCGCACTCCCTCTCTCCCCCCCCTCTCACTCCACTCCCTCCTCTCTCCCCCTCTCACTCCACTCCCTCTCTCCCCCCTCTCCACTCCACTCCTCTCTCCCCCCCTCTCACTCCACTCCCTCTTCCCCCCTCTCCTCCACTCCCTCTCCCCCCTCTCACTCCACTCCACTCCCTCTCCCCCCTCTCACTCCACTCCCCTCACTCCACTCCACTCCACTCCTTTCTCCCTCCCCCTCTCACTCCACTCCCTTTCTCCCTCCCCCTCTCACTCCACTCCCTTTCTCCCTCGCCCCCTCTCACTCCACTCCTTTCTCCCTCCCCCCTCTCACTCACTCCCTCCCTCCCCCCCTCTCACTCCACTCCCTTTCTCCCTCCCCCCTTCACTCCCTCACTCTCACTCCACTCCCTTCACTCCTCTCCCTCCCTCACTCCCTCCACTCCACTCCACTCCCTCTCCCCCCTCTCACTCCCTCCTTTCTCACTCCACTCCCTCTCCCTCCCCCCTCACTCCACTCGGGGAAGACTCCACTCAGGTCCGGCTGCCATGGCGAAGATCGTGGGCAGCGAAGGATACCTGTATTACGCGCAGATCCTCGTGAGACACTACGTAGGATTCGGTCCCTTCTTCACCCTCTTCACGAATCCTTTAGATGCGATTCCGAAGCTCCTGAATCTCTAAGGATGGAAGGATGGAAGGACTGAAATAGAAGGATAAGAAGGAACGAGAAAGAGAGAGAGGAAGAGGGAGGAAAGAAAAGGAAGAAGGGGGGTAAGGATAAGGAAGAGGATGAAGTGTTTAGGAGAATTGTTTTTTTTTTTTTTGCTATTTTGTTATTGTTTCATTTTATCACCCGTTCACTTGATTTTGTTCTTTTTCCAGTTTTTTTTTGTTTTCTTTCCTCTTTAACATATATATATATTTTAAAAATGAATATTTCTTTTGCTTTTCTTTATTACGTTATTCCTCTAACGTTATTTTCATTCTCTTCGCATAACTATATTTATTTTCTGCAATTATTTACGCCATTTAAATCTCATTTTCAAATTATTTCGTTTCATTTTCTCTGCACTTGCATATTCTTTTAAATTTTTTGCTTTGCGTCATAATTTTTGTAATTTTTGTTTTGTTCTTTGTTTTTTATTCTTGTTTAGTTGTTCCTTCTTTCTCCTTATTTATTTATTTTAAGCTTTTGTAGTATACACCTTCCGCTACCTTGTATTTTTTTTGTTTGTTTAATCAGTTTCCATTTTTTTTATAGTCTCTCTTTCCATGTGTTATAGTATATGTACAAGGAAACTTTATTTATAAACTGATATCCCAGGTATGTTCGTTTATTACCCTTTCATAATGATTAAAGATAGATAATTTGATATATAACTGTGACCATTGGAATATAAGAAATCGATTATTATGACCTTGTAAATGAAATGATAGACGGTAAATGATGAAACTAATTGATCAAGATAAACAAAAATGGAAAATAAAAGACATGATTTACAAATCTATTTCAAATGTATAAATTGATTTTTTTCTTGCACTCGTATATTGAATTCTTCTATCTCTGAATATCTATTGAAATTAACAGTGGACAAACATGCACCATTCTGGTTTTCAAAAGTACATGTGAATAAAGATTGAGTAAAATGAATTAAAAAAACTGTTACTCAATCGCTATTCGCAATATATAAATCTGTTTACTTTAAAATTCAGTCATCTTTATCAGCTGTAGCAATTCCCGTCATCGTTGCTACCATTGCAGATGCAAGAATGGAGCCAAGACTTCGGATTACTAAATCTGTAACTTGTTTATCTTATCCATAATAACGTCTTTACTTCACTTTCGCAGATCTATTACTTGTATTGCAATTTTGTACGAGTTCTTACATCATGACCTACAGAATCATTGATCAGTAACTCCAATCTCCAATTGACGCCGAAGTCATAGCTCTATCGTCGCATTCGGATAATTTGCAGTAATTTTGATATCCCTGGTTCAGGTCGTCGCAAAAGACCTGTTGTATATGTTGCCAAGATACATTTATGATTCAAGCAATACTTTTCATTTCAACTCTCGGTTCAGGCTATTGTTTAAGTAAACTACTCAGTCCCTTGGCGAGCAATGATGCACGATAATCAGAATGATATAAACGGACTCAGGTGTGATGTAGGCCGTAAACATTACTATATTTCTGCTGGTTAATTTATAAAGAGGACTATGGGTGATAAAGCACTTGCACTCACGGCTACCCGCTTTTCCGTAGCAGCATTTCTGCCGTTCTCTATACATCAGATCAAGAGAAAACGGATATGAATAATAAAATTGGACCATATACTATTATAAACGGATGAATATTAGCTTAGTTACAGTGCGGAGGATCAGTCTGTTACTTTCTTATTTATTGCACTGCATACAATATACGATAAATACATTACTAAGCCAATAATACAACATTCAAGAACATAAAATGTACTCGCATCTCTATAGAAATTGTATTAAATGTACAACTTAAAAAAAATGCGACATTGAACCTGTAAACATGATTTATTTAAAATGTAAACGACTATTCATAGTATGTTGTTGGGCTAAAGGTTTAAAGTCACTCTATGGGACTGTGGCTCTGCCTTTGATGGTGCCTTGCTAGAAGACCAGTTGAAGTGACATGAAATTTCCTCCGCCACATCATATCAGTTCATAGCAGGATGGGTTCAGCAATATCCATGTTTGAGTTAAACATGGGAAATTATCTCAGTTTTAAACATTTTTTTTCTATCAAAACGTCTGTAGTCATGCAAAAAAAAACAAAAAAACGGAACAAATCTCCGTAGTGACGTCTTTTGTTTCCGTAGAATTCCAGCCCTGATTGCACTTAGGAAGAAAGGTGTTCAATCTCTTTGTTGCCCACATATAAAAAAGAACCTGGCTTACCTCTGTTCATGGCTCCATATTTTTTTTTTTTGCTTTGTTTATAAATCGCTTGCCAAAAGTTCTGTCCACACAAGCGGGCGTGACGGTAGACGGTAGACGGGCGGGTACGAAGATCACATCACGGGCGGACAAACTACTCGTTTTCTCGCCTGCAAGGTCCTCTTTACCCGCCGATCGTGCCTTAAGTTGGCTCATTTTTTATAAACCTTTCCATTTCCCTTATATTTTGGAAAGGATAGTTCTCAGATTCTTTAGATTCCAACATTGTTATAACTGAAAATTTAAAATGGATTCATTGGCCTAGAAAAAATTGTTCCCAAATATATCTTTATAACCCATGTCACACCATCGAAGAATGCCCACGACAATTGACGTCCATTCACGTCACTGAGGAAGGGACGTCCCGGCGGGTGGCGTCCATTCACGTTAATAATGGGTATTAGCGACCCCGGGGTTAAACAATATTCGTGCTACTGAATACATTTTTTAGAACAATGTTGAATGTACCTCATAGCAAAATATGGATTATGTAACCAATGGAATAAAAAACGAAATGATTGCTGGGAACTTGCTTACTGAATAGTCAACTTTGATATTTGTAATGCATGCTAGTCTTAGAGGTTTAACTTGCAAGGATGAATTCGGATTCATATAAATTAACCCAAAATCATGTTATCCCCATTTACTCAACGACACTGCAGACTTAAAAAAAAATAGTACTGATGTATGTCTTATTTATTTATGAAGTAAATAATTGAAGCCTCTTAATTTGAATATTTTTGTAGTTTATGATCGGATTTATTAAGACAGTAACCACGCTTTCCCATATTACCACCAGTTCACGTTTGCTTTTTACCTTCAACTTGTTTCTAAGGAAGGATCTCCCCCATCTGCAGTCTCGGCATTTAAGATGAAGAGTTGGCATACTTCAGACACCAGCCCTGTCTTGAAATTTGCATATATATGGAAAATCTGATAGAGGAGAAACATAAATAACGCCGACCCGACGTCAGAAGGCGGTTCTGATTTGCGTACAATGTTCCCCCGAAGATGAATCTCTGCGCGTAACGGATTAATTAATATGCATAATGAGACGGGGGAGGAAAAGTCTCGGATATTTCGCATAGTCGAGTTGAAGGCTTGAATGTGAGCATGTTCGTTAAGTTTGCTTGCTTTGAATAAATGATTAAACATTCTCCGTAAACACTTGTATCGGTTAAAGGTGATGTTACATGACGTGGTGCTCTCCTGTGCAACTTCCTGGTCGCTTAATACATCGAAATACAGCATTTCACTTTTGTATTATATATATTGAGGAAAGACGCTACGTAGGAATTATATAAATATAAAACTATTTGCTTCTGCCAGGATTTGTATAAATGTAAAAGTATATATACATATATTCATTTTCTTTGTGTACTTCGGGGATAAAGTTAACTATACTTGTATCTATTAAATTCCTTCTGCTTCTGTATGGAATTCTTATTGTTGGAAACTTATATTAACCAATATGAATCATTTGGGCTGAAGCACCACTGGACATTGGCAATCCAGACATCTCATAACCCCTTAATCATACGCACTGTTCTTACTTAATGGAAAATGGACATGCAAAAACATTGTTTCGAAACCTTTTAGCTCAATAATATTGGCTCGTTTTTGTAAACTGAATTGCATAAGAAGATATGCATATTGTAAATTACTATTACTGCGAATTACCATACGAGTATCTATATTCCATTTATTATATACCAACTAAAAATATATTTGTAGATTCATCGATATATCGTGTTAATTTACGTTATTTTAAGTTATGTATGTATAACTGAGAATGAAAGGGAGATTAGAATGCATAAGTACGTGCGTGAGTGACCATCAGTGAGTAGGTGAATCGGTCTTGCCTAGTGATACATTATTGATTTATTGGAAAAAAAAGAATTTGGTGCGGCAGTTTTTTTTTTAAGATCATTGAACGGCCAATTGAAAACATTACCGGGTGTTTCGCCCCCTAATTTCACCCTATCGTAAAACATCTTTGTTGATAAGGCAATGTTTATGGATTCTCAGGAAAAAAAAGTCAGACGTTGTAGAACGCCGTAGATAGTGAAAAGGGCATAAAGAGAAGAAGCAAACGGAGTACGAAGGCCGTTCAAGGACTGACCCCAAGCCAGACTTTCATTCTCTCGACACGGCTCTCACATGAGGATGTGGACTGAAGAAGGGGACGAAAAAAGGAAGAAAATACCATGCTAAATCAGTTAAGGGCCGAAGCCTCCTAGCCCCCCCCCCCCACGCACATGACAACGAACAAGGGATTAAAGGAGGGGAGGGGGAGGTGCTAAATTCTGATCACCAATCCATGTGAAGTTATCAGACACGTGAAATATACCCCCCCCCCCACACACACACTTTTCCCCTGATTAGTGACACACAATTGATGACAACCTCGATTCGGCCTCAAAGCAGGATTCCCCGGGACTCCATCCAAGCATAAATGGGCGAGAGACTGATGTACGACAATCCGCAAATGAAAGCTATTGATTGGACGATCTAAATAAAGTTCTTTCTTACTTTAGTGTTGTTGGTTTTTCTTCATTTTAAATTAGATATCTATTACTAGATTTTTTTTTTTTTGAGAGAATTAATCAATATAAATTAACGCGTTTCAATTTCCTAAGAATGTAAAGATTTAACCGAAACAATTTTTTTCAAATCTTCAGTCATTCAAATCTTAACTCTTTATTTACGTTTATCACACCGTTTTAAGATGCATTCCAATTAGTGGTAGCAATTAACCGTTGAAGGCAACTTTATCCGACAGTAAACCCCGTGATAGACAATGGGAATTCATTCATTAATTTCATCGTCTCCCAATGTAAACAATAATAACAGGTTTGTGAATGAGACGGGAGTTATTCTGTACTTTATAAAATCAATCTACAAACAATTAAGGCCCTATCACACTATCACTTTTTCCGTCAATTTTTGCGTTTCCGTCTGAATCTGAGGCTCTCCGCAAGTATCGTTTGCAAACGGACCACCACCCAGACGAAGACGGTTACGACCGTTTCCGTCTGACAAATTTCCGTCTTGATCTTGTGCTATTAAGAAAATAGATAGCTTACGTTTACATTCACTCATCCTAATATTTCAGAACATTCGTATATAGAATATACACCATCATATTACTTTAAACTAACGTAATATATGAGAATGTCCGTGTGATTCCCGGTACCTCGAACTCCGATAGCGCCATGTTTGTTTACATGGTTCAGTCGATTTTCAAACGGGAAGTTCATTCGGAAACGCAAAAAAATTGACGGAAAAGTGATGGTGTGATAGGTCCTTTACACGCGATGTAATGTGGCCAATGTATAACGAAATATAATACACTTGAATACATTAACACAACTAAAATATGCAAGTGTATTAATATATTCAGGTGTGCAGCATATTTATATTTGTTGAATAGATTAATACAACTACTAAAATATGCAACTGTATTATATTTTGTTAGCATTAAGTAATGTGGCCAATGTATGTTTTGATAGCTTCCAAGAGGGCTTTATAAATATCTCTAAAAAATAAATGTAAAAACCACATGGCATAAAAAATAAAGAGAATGAATAAAAAGGTAAATTTCATTCAACCTAGTCAAGATAATTGTAATTAACAAAGAAAGAATAAAAAGGATAGTAATAAAACATACCGAATGTTAATTGACTTATTTACACCCTAAGGAAGAGAGGAAACGAAATCACTAGTGGAAATATAAAAGGTAGACAGATCGAGAAAGGGAAAAGAAAAGAATAGAAATAATGGGAGGAAAAAAGAGAAAAGGGTGGAAGGAACAGGAAAAAGGGGAGGGAGTAAAAAAAAAGAGAGAGAGAGAGAGAGAAAAGAAAGATGAGAAAAAATCAAGAGAAAAAAAAGAGAATAGATAGATAAGGAAGAAAAAGAGAGAAAAGAGAAGAGAAAAGAGAGGAGAAAGAGAAAAAGGAGAGAGAAAAGAAAGAGAAAATAGAGAGAGAGACAAAGAAAAAGAGAAAGCGAAAAGAGAAAAAAGAGAAAGAGATAAAATAAAGAGAAAGAGAGAAAAGAGAGAGAGAGAGAAGAAAGAGAGAAGAGAAAACGAAAAAAAGAGAAATAGAGAGAAGAAAGAGAAAAGAGGGAGAGAAAAAGAGAGAGAACAGAAAAAAGAGAAAAAAGAGCGAGAGCGAAGAGAAATAAGATAGGGAACAGGAAAAAGAGATGAAAGAGAAGAAAGAGCAAAAAAGAAGATAAAATAAATAAAGAAAAAAAAGAGAAGAAACGATTAAAGATAGAAACAAGAGAAGAGAAAATAAAAGAAGAAAAAAGAAAACAAGAAATGAGGGGAAAAAAAATGAGAAGAAAGAGAAAAAGGGAAAAAGAAAGAAAAAAATTAGAAGAAAGAGAAAAAGGCAAAAAGAAAGAAAAAAGTGAAAAAACAGAGAAAGAAAAGGAGATAAAAAAGAAAGACAAAAGAAAAAAAAGAAAAGAGAAAAAAAAAAGAGAAAAAAGAGAGAAAGAGAGAGAGATGAGACAGAAAGAGAGAGAATAAAAGAGGAGTAAACCCACCCACCCACCGAGCACTGTAACCCTCCCAAGAAAAGGACAAAAGAAAAGCGAGATTCCTCCGTCATCACCACTTTATGCAAACGTCTCCTGGACGACGGACACCACAAGCCGGAGCACCCCGGTGGCCCCGAAGAGCGACCCGACGTCCTCGCCTAACATGTACTCGAAAACCGGCAGGATCGTCCTCGCCAGCGAAGGGTTGAGGAGGAACATGTTGACCGCCGGCAGAGCGTAGTACAGGAACGTGAACAGCAGGCGGAGTCCCACGGGGAGGCCGGCCATGGCGACCCTCCTCGGCGGGCGGGCGTCGGCCACGGTTTCTGAAACGTTCTTGGGTCTGCGGTCCGGCGAAGGGGGGGGGAGGGTCGCTGTGTCCTCGACGAGAGCGTCCATCGGCGTCGTGGAGGGGGGCGCGGCGTCGACGTCTGCGTCTTCCTGGGACGACTGGTCGAGGGTCACGACGCTGCCGAGGGACGGCTCCTGGAAGGGCGAAACAACAAAGGAAAATTACAGGTCCGTTTTGGGAGTGCGAATCCGACTGCCCGTAACACGCTGAATAAGGGGCCTCGGACCACATCCCACAGCCCGTCAGTGTGCTGGGAGGCGACAGTCCCACCAGCTGACTGATCAGGGTTAACTACCCGGCATGGTTAAACAGGTGATCGTACCAATTGGAAGTACTGACCGACTGTCCAAAATCCTACTTGACCTTAGCTTGACCCTGGACGACGAATAACTGACCCTCGCAATAAAACTCATAACCACCTGGAATGTCCAAACTCTGCTATGCACTAAATACTCTACCTTTCTATCACAAGAACTAAACCAATATAACATCTCATAGGCTGGACTCTGCGAAACACGTTGCCCTAATAGCGGAGAGACCACGGCAGGCGACCACTGCTACTTCTGGAGTGGCCCCCCTGGCTTTGGCAGTACCTTTCTGTCAAAAGAAATCCCCATCAGCTGTAAGCCTGAAAGCAGACTTCTATCAACACGGCTCCTCCACCGCTTTGGAAAAGTGACCATAACTGTGCCTTTGGCCCTACAGAAGGAGCAGACGAAAGTTCAAAGGACAATTTCTTAAAGCAACTTCAGCAGGAGATCCAAACGTTCCTCCTGACGATACCTTCGTCCGACCAGCCACCCATACACCTCTTGCAAGCCCTCCTCCTGACACGGAACTACAGGTAGTAACAGATAACGTTCATCATCAGACAAACAGCAACGGATACCGACTGCACGATCTCTGCAGGTTCAAAACCCGCAAACGGATCCACCACTGGACCTGGTCTAACAGTAATGATCGACCACATCCTCAAGTCTTGTCGATGCAAGTCCTTCGTCACTGCCGTGTGTTAAGGGGCGCACAGCTTGCCAACTCTGACCATTGCCTACTTGTAACAGACCTTAAACTGAGAAGAAAAGAGAGGAAAAAGAGGAAGAGAGACAGAGAGGGAGAGAGAGAAAAAGAGAAAGAAAGAGGAAGAGAGGCTGAGAGAGGAAGAAAGAGAAAAAGAGAAAGAAAGAGGAAGAGAGAGAAACAGAGAGAAAGAGAGAGAGACAAAGGCCAACATAACAGCCAAACGCAAACCCCCGCTTCAACTGAACACATCTCTCCGACCCTCGCTCCATCAACGACCACCATAGTGCTCTTGAAGAATACACACACGCCTACCATCTACGTATCAATAATCACAAAGAGGCCTTTTAAAACTCACCAGCTGCTCCCCCGCGACGTCAGCAACGGTCTCTGCCCCGACGCTGGAACCCAGGACTGTCAGGACCACAACCACAAGCCTGAAAATTGTAAAAGACCTACATACAGTTTTGCGGTACTTATATTTCTTACTCGTCTTCTGTTCTCTTGTCTTCTCTTTCATTCTCAGTCTATAATTCTCTTATATTCCTCGTAGTCCTCTTTCTCCTCCTCCCCTTCTCTTCACTTTATTTTCATTCAGCAATATATATGTTTTATTGAGAAAGAGAGAGAGAGAGGGAGAGAGAGAGGGAGGGAGAGAGGAGGGAGAGAGATAGGGAGGGAGAGGGAGAGAGATAGGAGGGAGAGGGAGAGAGAAAGAGGGAGAGAGAGAGAGAGAGGGAGAGAGAGAAGAGAGAGGAGAGAGAGAGAGAGAGAGAGAGAGAGAGAGAGAGAGAGAGAGAGAGAGGGAGAGGGAGAGGGGAGGAGAGGGAGGGGAGAGGGAGAGGGAGAAGGGAGAGGGAGAGGGAGAGAGAGAGAGAAGAGGGAGAGGGAGAGGGAGAGGGAGGGAGAGGGAGAGAGAGAGAGAGAGAGGAGAGAGAGAGAGAGAGAGAGAGAGAGAGAGAGAGAGGAGAGAGAGGGAGGGAGGGAGAGAGAGAGAGAGTGGAGAGAGAGAGAGAGAGAGAGAGAGAGAGAAGAGAGAGAGAGAGAGAGAGAGAGAGAGAGAGAGAGAGAGAGGAGAGAGAGAGAGAGAGAGAGAGAGAGAGAGGGAGAGAGAGAGGGA